GTGGGGGAAATAAGTCTTGTTGTTTGTTCTCCTAGGGCCTCCCCCTCCACCTTTTTTGGATTCTTGCTGCCTCCTTCTGAGCCAGGATTGTCCAGTTGCTGAAATGTAAATACTTATGTATTGGGAGGAAGGGAGCTCCAACTGTGTCATCCTCTCCCTTCTCCACATGCCTGGATTATTTAAAAAGCCATGTGTGGAAACCCACTATTTAATAAACGTAATAGAATCACAAGTGACTGGCCAGTTGTAGTTGCAGTGAGGCGTTTGTGGAGCATCTACTGCATGCTGAGCCAAGAGGGAGATGGACCTGGATCTCACCTTTACCCCTCAGGAAGCCTCAGTCTTGTGGTGCCATCCTAAAGATCTTTTATGGATTCACACAAAGAAAAACTATTGACAGCACCCCTTCCCCAGCTCTTATGTAATGACCAGTATGTGCAGAAGGGCTCCATTGGAAATAGACACTGAAGATGTTTGGGACACATACCCAGTTAAAGATGGCTAGCTCAGGGATAGGAAAAAAAAACTCCAACTCTGGGAAGGGTGTAAATCCCTTCCCCATGGGAGAAGAAAAGCCCTTTCAGGGCATTGGTGAGGGTGGGGCTAGGTTTGAATGCAGACTGGAATCTTCCCAACCCTTCCTTGATTTCTAATAACCAGGATGTAAGACACTTGTTTTGCCCTTACCTTTTCGCCTCTCCCTTGTCTCCTTAGCTGCTCATCCCTCTCATCCCTCCTTCCTTAATTCTTGACTTACCTTCCCTATTTTATGTTGTTTTCACTTGTCCCCACCTCAGCTGTACCCTCTTGCCCTGCTTTCAAAAGCTAACCTGTAAACCTCATCCGGTTTACTAGTTGACGACTCAGTTCTTTTTCATCTCAGTGTTGGCTTACTTGCCCTCCCTTCTCTGGCTCAACTAAATTACAGTGCCTATTCACTTGTATATACTGAACTCCCCTGATTTATCTGCTAGCTCACCTGCCTGACCCTCACCTGCCTCGCCTTCTCAAACTCCTTTTGCTCCCAAAAGCCCGGAGGCTCTCAAGGGGGCGGGTCCTCGCTGGGAAGGGAAAGGAACTTGAGTCCAACCAGGAAACACCTACTTTTGATGTGGAAAGGGCGGTGCCATCAGAAGACCGTGCCAATAAAGAACTGAGATAGGGGGCAACTGAACCAATGAGACGAGGCGACGGGATGGGCGGTGATATACAAAGCGGGATCAATGAAGAGGGCGGGTCTAGTAACGGGAATAGGTCGAAGAGGCTGTGCAGAGATGGGAGGCTGAGCCGGCCGCACGCCCGGTCTCCCTATCCCGATGGAATTTGGGAGTCCCGAGGCCTCTGTCATAACTTGGCGTTCAGGAGCGGACAAAGAGAGTCACTGCTCTGATCAGCCCTTCCCTGGTCCCCCCCTCACCCCGGCGGCCCGGAAGCGGAAGTGACGGACACGGAAGAGGCCTGCTGTTGCCGAGGGGACGGGCCAGGCAGATGCCAACATGGCAGCGGTTGGGTCTGGCGGTTCCACCGCGGCGGCCGGGCCGGGGGCGATCTCCGCGGGGGCGTTGGAGCCTGGTACCGTGAGTGCGGGTGAGACAGGCTGTGGCAAAGCGGTCAGCGGCAGGGCAGGGGTCAGAATCGCTGTGGGGCGTCAGGAAGGTCGCTCACTGAGGCGAAAGGGAGCATCCCATATGGAGCGACCT